CCCGAAATGCTGGGATTACAGGCATGAGCCACTGCACCCGGCCGTGTTTTTTTTTTCTTTAGTAGAGATGGGGTTTCACCATGTTGGACAGGCTGGTCTCGACCTCCTGACCTTATGTGATCCGCCCACCTCATCCCCCCAAAGTGCTGGGACTACAGGCGTGAGCCACTGTGCCTGGCCTCATTTGTGGTTCTTACTCACTTACAGCTTGAGTAATTTCTACTATGGGAGCAGTCGGGAATCCTGGGCTCACTTGGATCTACGTGCCAATGTAGTAGTAGGGTCACACATAGACCAGGTGTGGTCACTTTCAGTAACTGATGGCTGCATGCCCATTTGAGGCGTTGTGTGGCAATTCAGGAGGGAACCCTGAAATGTCCAGTAGGGAGGAGTGGGTGGCAGGAAACGTATATGTTTTGAAACAGAGTCTTGCTCTGTCACCTAGGCTGGAGTGCAGTGGTGTGATCACAGCTCACTGCAGCCTCAACCTCCTAAGCTCAAGCAATCCTCCTGCTTCTGCCTGTCAAGTAGCTGGTATCACAGGCACATACCAGCAAACCTGGCTATTACCATAATTCTGTTGCTCATACCAGGGTCATTCATGATGAAATAATTATCATCACCACCCCAGTCAAAAGCAAAAATAAAGCTCCTTCCTGAAGAGTATATTGTGCGTGAGTTTGTTTCAATACAACTTTTTTTTTTTTTTTTGAGATGGCAGTGTTGCTTTGTTGCCCAGGCTACATGGTGTGATTTCAGCTCACTGCAACTTCTGCCTCCTGAGTTCAAGCTATTCTTCTACCTCTGCCTCCCAAGTAGCAGGGACTACAGGCATGTGCCACCACACCTGGCTAATTTTTGTATTTTTAGTAAAGACAGGTTTTCACCCTGTTGCCCAGGTTGGTCTCAAACTCCTGACCTCAAGTCATCTGCCCACCTCAGCCTCTCAAAGTGCTGGGATTATAGGTATGAGCCACTGTGCTGGCCTTTGTTTTGAGAGGGAGTCTTGCTCTATCACCAAGGCTGGAGTGCAGTGGGAGACCTCTCAGCACTTTTTTTTTTTTTTTTAAGACGGAGTCTCACTCTGTCGCCCAGGCTGGAGTGCAGTGGTGTGATCTCAGCTCACTGCAAGCTCCGCCTCCCGGGTTCAAGCCATTCTCCTGCCTCAGCCTCCCGAGTAGCTGGAACTACAGTCGCCTGCCACCACGCCCGGCTAATTTTTTGTATTTTTAGTAGAGACGGGGTTTCACCATGTTAGGATGGTCTCGATCTACTGACCTTGTGATCTGCCTGCCTTGCCCTCCCAGCATTTTGGGCAGATCACCTGAGGTCGGAGTTTGAGACTAACCTGGCGAACATGGCAAAACCCCGTCTCTACTGAAAATAAAAAAAATTAGCTGGGTGCAGCGGTTCACGTCTGTAATCCCAACACTTTGGGAGGCTAAAGCAGGCGGATCACTTAAGCTCAGGAGTTTCAACATGGTGAAACCTTGTCTCTACCAAAAATGCAAAAATGAGCTGGGCGTGGTAGCGTGCGCCTGTAGTCCCAGCTACTCGGGAGGCTGAGGCAGAAGAATTGCTTGAACCTGGGAGGCAGAGGTTGCAGTGAGTCGAGATCGCGCCCCTGCACCCCAGTCTGGAGGACAGAGCAAGACTCAGTGTCAAAAAAAAAAAAAAAAAAAAAAGAAAGAAATGCTTGTTTTGGCCAGATGCAATGGCTCACAGCTGTAATCCCAGCACTTTGAGAGGCTGAGGCAGGAGAAGGATCACTTGAGCCCAGGAGTTAGAGACCAGCCTAGGTAACACAGCAAGTCTCCCTCTCTCCAGAAAAATTTAAAAATCAGCTGGACGTGGCTGGGGACGGTGGCTCAATCCTGTAATCCTAGCACTTTGAGAAGCCAAGACAGGCAGATCACTTGAGGTCAGGAGTTCAAGACCAGCCTGGCCAATACGATGAAACCCCGTCTCTACTAAAAATCCAAAAATTAGCCAGGCGTGGTGGCATGAGCCTGTAGTTTCAGCTACTTGGGAGGCTGAGGCAGGAGAATTGCTTGAAGTTGGGAATCGGAGGTTGCAGTGAGCTGAGATTGTGTCACTGTACTTCAGCCTGGGCATTGCAATGAGACTCCATTTAAAAAAAAAAAAGCCAGGCACAGTGGCTCATGCCTGTAATCCGAGCACTTTGGGAGGCCAAGGGCGGATCATGAGGTCAGGAGTTCAAGACCAGTCTGGCCAACATAGTGAAACCCCCTTTCTACTAAAAACACAAAAAGTTAGCCGGGTGTGGTGGTGTGCACCTGTAATCCGCTACTCTGGAGGCTGAAGCAGGAGAATCGCGTGAACCTGGGAGGCAGAGGTTGCAGTGAGCTGAGATCGCGCCATTGCACTCCAGCCTGGGAGGCAGTGCAAGACACCGTCTCGGCCGGGCGCGGTGGCTCACGCCTGTAATCTCAGCACTTTGGGAGGCCGAGGCAGGCGGATCACAAGGTCAGGAGATCGAGACCACGGTGAAACTCCGTCTCTATTAAAAAATACAAAAAATTAGCCGGGCGCGGTGGCGGGCGCCTGTAGTCCCAGCTACTCAGGAGGCTGAGGCAGGAGAATGGCGTGAACCCGGGAGGCGGAGCTTGCAGTGAGCCGAGATGGAGCCACAGCACTCCAGCCTGGGCGACAGAGTGAGACTCCATCTCAAAAAAAAAAAAAAAAAAAAAAAAAAAAAAGACACCGTCTCAACGACGACAAAAAAAAGGATAGGAAAAATAAATCGGCTGGGTGTGGTGGTGACCCCTGTAGACCCAGTTACTGGGAGGCTGAAAGGCTGAAGTGGGAAGATTGCTTGAGCTGAGGTCAGGCTGCAGTGGCAGGATCTCAGCTCACTGCACTCCTGCCTAGGGGATGGTGCAAGACCCTGTCTCAAAGAGGGAAAAAAAAAAAGAAAGAAAAATTTATTTTGATTTCTCATTAGAGTATAGGCTCTGAAGTTTCATTTGTGCATATGAGTTATGTATCCTTCACACATAAATATAAGTTTATCTATATTGGCCATGCCTACTGGTCAGACTACCAGAGGCATACACATGGTGGAATGATGATTTGCTATTTCAGTGAATGGATATATTCCTCGCTGTGAACCAGTTATTATTTGGGGCTATTAGTTGCTGCAATGAGACATCACACCTCTGAAACCATGGGGTGTCTTAGACTTGTTAGAGGGCTTGTTATACCATTTGGACTTGTGGCTGGCGATTTTGGGGAGGGTCCAAGGACAGGGGTGTGTTTTGGACTGGGTGTTGCACTAACGCAGGGGCAACTCAGAGATTATTTTAACAATTTTAGGTCGGGCGCGGTGGCTCACGCCTGTAATCCCAGCACTCTAGGAGACCGAGGCAGGCGGATCACTTGAGGTCAGGAGTTTGAGATCAGCCTTGCCAACCTGGTGAAACCCCATCTCTACTAGTTGGCAGGTGCCTGTAATCCCAACTTGGGAGGCTGAGGCAAGAGAATTGCTTAAACCTGGGAGGCGGAGGTTGCAGTGAGCCGAAATTGTGCCACTTCACTCCAGCCTAGGCGACAGAGCAAGACTCCCTCTCAAAAAAAAAAAAAAAAAAAAAAAAAAAAAAAAAAAAAAAACTATTAGTTGCTAAAAATGAGACATCACACCTCTGAAACCAAGAGTGTCTAGACTTCTGTTAGAGGGCTTGTTATACTACATTTGGACTTGTGGCTTATTTGGGGGTGTGTTTTTGGTTCTGGGTGTTGTACTCAACGCAGGGGGCAACTCAGATTATGTTAAATACCTGAAGTCGAAGCGTGGTTTCAGCTTAATTCCCAGTAGTACTTAGGGAGATCACCCGAGGCAGGGGCGGATCACTTTGAGGTCAGGAGTTTGAGACTTGCCAACCTGGTGAAACCTACTTACTTACAGGTGCCTGTAATCCCAACTTGGGAGGCTGAGGCAGGAGAATTGTTGGAATTGGGTGGAGGCGGAGCTGCAAGTGAGCCGAAATTGAGCTGCACTTCACTCCAGAGCCGCAGCGACAGAGCAGACTCAAAAAAAATTAATCCAGAAAGCAGGAGGAATAGAGAGGACCTAAAGCTGTCACTGGAGAAAAAGCAGTAATTACTCACACCAGCTGAAGAAGGGATGTTTATTCTTCTGTGTGTGTGGTTGCGCAGTGCGTTTTTATTTATGCAGAGAAGATTACTGATTGGAATTATTTTCTCCTTCCCTCAGTCACAGAGAGAACTCGTCTGGTATCTTCTGTGAACCTGCTTATGTTCAAGTAATCCAGGCCAGCTACCGTGGGTCTCAGGGCTTTTTTTTGGGTGACAGTGTCTCGCTCTTGTTGCCCAGGCTGGAGTGCAATGGCGAGATCTCGGCTCACAGCAACCTCCACCTCCCGGGTTCAAGTTATTCTCCTGCCTCAGCCTTCTGAGTAGCTGGGATCACAGGCATGTGCCATCACACCCAGCTAATTTTGTATTTTTAGTAGAGATGGGGTTTCACCATGTAGGCCAGGCTGACCTTAAACTCCTGATCTCAGGTGATCCACCCGCCTCGGCTTCCCAATGTGTTAGGATTACAGGCGTAAGCCACCACGCCCGGGCTTTTTATTTTTCTTCTTCCAAATGCTGCACCTAACCACATTTAGGTGGCAGGCAAAAGGATATTGCTTAGCTGTTTTGCTACAGAAATGATAACTCTTGGGCAGGGCGCGGTGGCTCACGCCTGTAATCCTAGCACTTTGGGAGGCCGAGGCGAGTGGATCACCTGAGGTCAAGAGTTCGAGAACAGCCTGGCCAAAATGGTGACACCCCATCTTTACTAAAAATACAAAAATGTAACCGGGTGTGGTGGCGGACGCCTGTAATCCCAGCTACTCGGGAGCCTGAGGCAGGAGAATCACTTGAACCCGGGAGGCGGAGGTTGCAGTGAGCCGAGATCGCGTCATTGCACTCCAGCCTGGGCAACAAGAAAGAAACTTCGTCTCAAACAAACAAACAAACAAAAAAGACAACTTTTGATCCCTGAGGCTGCTAATTCCAACTGTGTGCATGTGCTTAACAAATACCTCCGCACCCAGGCCTGGGAAGCTGGCTGCTTTGTTTAGAGCAAATACGGCAGGCCCAAGTGGCAACTGACGATAACGAACTGGACGCGTGTTTCTCCTGCAGCGAAGGTCATGGTGCTGACAGCCTCTGCCTTGCACTTTGTCCCTGGGAATCAGGCCTGTGGCCAGTCCTGCCTCCTGGAAAGCCGGGGTGCGTGAGAGGACCTGATGCGGAGCGGGACCCCATCCTCTCCGTATTTCCCCAAGAGCCGGCGGCACAGGCTGCCTGCGCTCCTTAAGCTAGGTCAGTTCTCAGGCCCACAGTTCTCGTCCTCTGGCCCGGAGTTCTCGTTCTCCTAACATCCTCCGCAGAAAACGACCTTCATTTTTCCCTCTTGCGCCGGTCTTGAAGCGGGGCGTCCTTTGGGCTCACGTTGCGGCGCTCAGCGGGCTCAACCGTCAGCCGCCTCCAGGGCCTCAGGAGCAGTGGTTGGGGCCCGCCCTCCAGCGCCCGGGATCCTCGGCCCAGCCCTGCTCCGAGCGCGTCACAATGGCGTCGCGGCCCCGCCCCCGGACGACCGGGCGCGGTCCCAGCCTCCTTCGGTTTCGTGGGGAAGCCGGACTGCGCCATGTCTTCTAAAGAAGGCTGGGGGAAGAGTCCGGCCAGCGAACAAGAGGGCAGCTGGTAGCAGGGTGGGATGCCAGTGGCGTACGGACGAGGCCCAGCCAGGCACGCGGGAGCAGCAGGACTTCCGGAAGCGCAGGCAGCGCTCGACCGGAAGGGGCCCGGGACTGGCGCAGGCCCCGCCCCTCGGAGGCCCCGCCCAGGGAGCGCTGCGGCAGTTTCCATGGTGAAATGGTCAACAGGCCCGAAAGTTCCTCAGCTACGACGACCACCAGGTACCTCGGGTTCCTCCTTCCTCCGAGAGACCGCCGAGGTGCGGGCTGTAAGAGCGGGAGCGTGGAGCCTCCGAGGCCGAGGTGAGGGGCGGCCGGCGGGCCAGGGCCGGGTCTGAGGTCGAGGGCCGCACTCCCAGGGTCGAGCGGGGACCGGGCCCGTAGGGGGTGGGGACGGGATTTGGGATCAGGGAGAGTCGTGGCAGAGAGAACGCAGAGAATCCTTGACTCCATGCCGGAGCGGCCAGCCCACCCTAGAGAGGCGAGACAAGGGCAGCCAGAAGGAACCAAGTCTGCGGAAGCGCTTCCTCTGGGCATGGATATTGGGAGAGTCCTGGACGAGTGACCCTGGACCTAGGAGGCATGAGAGGTCTACACACACTTGCAAGGATACCTTCATGGTTATTGAGTTGTGGTGAGAAAAGAGGCTCTTTTTAGTTTATTTTTTAAGGCAGTACATTCACATACTTAAGAGTCAGAAACTTATACAAGGCTTTATTACTCAAAACTCCCTTTTCCCAGTTCCTTCTGAGGAAATAGTTTCAAATCTTTGAACTTTTTTCTCCAGAAATTTCATTTCTTTCTCTTACATCAGCAGCTCTTCCCAGTGTTCTTCCTTCATTAGCTTTACTAAGTTTGTATTCTGTGGTCGGAAATATTTATTTATTTATTTATAAATAGAAACATGGGTATCATTAATGTTGCCCAGGCTGGTCTTGAACTCCTGGGCTCAAATGATTCTTCTGCTTTAGCTTCCCAAAGTGTGGGGATTACAGGCTGAACCACGGCCTCTCGCCGAAATATTTCTTCATTGATTTCCTTTGCCTCCTAGTCTTACTTTTCTGGTGTGTGTGTGTGTGTGTAATAGCCATTTATTTTTTCTTTCTCCTTTCTAGTCATATCCTTAAATACATTTTGCACTAATTCCTTTTGAAACCTCATCATGGAAAGAACTTGAATTTAGCAGATTAGGGATGAGTGCAGGCCTTTGTCTTAGCAATCTTGAAAACTATATATATATATATATATTTCTTTTGAGATGGAGTCTGTCGCCCAGGCTGATATATATATATATATATTTTCTTTTTGAGATGGAGTCTGTCGCCCAGGCTGGAGTGCAGTGGCATGATTTTGGCTCACTGCAACCTTCACCTCCTGGATTGAAGCAATTCTCCTACCTCAGCCTCCCAAGTAACTAGGATTACAGGCACATGCCACCACACCCGGCTAATTTTTGTATTTTTAGTAGAGACAAGGTTTTGCCCTGTTGGCCAGGCTGGTCTCGAACTCTTGACCTCAGGTGATCCACCCGCCTCAGCCCCACAAAGTGCTGGGATTACAGGCGTGAGCCACTGCACCCAGCCCCTGTATATTAAGAAATATACCCTTGTGTATTGTTGGTAAGAATGTAAAATGGTACAGCAGCTGTGGAAAACAGTATGGCAGTTCCTCAAAAAATTACATAGAGAATTGCCATAAGATCCAGCAGTACCACTTCTGGGTCTGTATCCAAGAGAAATGAAAGCGGGGACTCAGTTACTTGTACATTGATGTTCATAGCAGCATTATTTGCAATGGTCAAAAAGTAGAGGTAACCCCAGTGTCCATTGGTAGATAGATAAACAAAATGTGTCATATACAATAGAATATCATTCAGCCTTAGGAAGAAAATCTTGGCTGGATGCAGCAGCTCATGCTGGTAATCCCAGCACTTTGGGAGGCCAAGTGGGAGGATTGCTTGAGTCCAGGAGTTCCAGACCAACCTGGGCAACATAGCGAGATCCTGTTTCCACAAAAAATAAAATAAAGAATACAAAAATTAGCTGGGCATTGTGGCATGTGCCTGTAGTCCTAGCTACTCTGGAAGCTGAAGTTGAAGGATTACATGTGCTTAGGATGTTTAGGCTTCAGTGAGCCATGATTGCACTGCTGTACTCCAGCCTGAGTGACAGAGCGAGACTCCATTTGTTCAAAAAATAAAAATAAGGTTGCCAAGTGCGATGGCTAATGCCTGGAATCCCAGCACTTTGGGAGGCCGAGGAGGGCAGATCACCTAAGGTCAGGAGTTCAGCCTGGCCAACATGGTGAAACCCTGTCTCTACTAAAACTACAAAAATTAGTTGGGCGTGGTGCCGGGCGCCTGTAATCCCAGCTACTCAGGAAACTGAGACAGGGAGAATTGCTTGAACCTAAGAGGCGGAGGTTGCAGTGAGCCAAGATTGCACCACTGCACTCTAGCCTGGGTGACAGAGTGAGACTCCATCTCAAAAATAAATAAATAAATGAAAATAAAAATAAAAAAGAAAATGTTGTCATATGCTGCAACATGGATGAATGTTGACAATATTAAGTGAAGTAAACCAGTAATGGACAAATATTGCATGATTCCACTTATATGAGAATCTAAAGTAGTCAAATTCACGTAAACAGAAAAGTAGAATGGTGGTTGCTAGAGGCTGGGGTAAGGAGGAATGGGAAGTTGTTTAATGGGTAGAGAGTTTCAGATTTGCAAGATGAAAATGTTCTGGAGATCTGTTTCACAACACTGTGAATCTACTTAAGATTGAACTGTACACTTTTAAAAGGTTAATTGGCAAGTTTTGTTATTTGTTACCCAGGCTGGAGTGCAGTGGAGACATCTCAGCTCACTGCAGCCTTTGCCTGCCTGGCTCAAGCAGTTCTCCCACCTCAGCCTCCAGAGTAGCTGGGATTACAGGCGCCCGCCACCATGCCTGGCTAATTTTTTACATTTTTAGTAGAGGCGGGCTTTTTGGCATGTTGGCCAGACTGATCTCGAACTCCTGGCCTCAGGTAACCTGCCCACCTCGGCCTCCCAAAGTGCTAGGATTACAGGTGTGAGCCACTACATCCTGCCTGTATTTTTAATCAAAAGAGTTTAAGGACAGGCACAGTGGCTCACGCCTGTAATCCCAGCACTTTGGGAGTCTGAGGTGGTAGGATCACCTGAGATCAGCAGTTTGAGACCAGCCTGGTCAACGTTGTGAAACCCTATCTGTACCAAAAAATACAAAAATTAGCCCAGCATGGTAATGCCTGCCTGTAGTCCCAGCTACTTGGGAGGCTGATGTGGGAGAATCTCTTGAATCTGGGAGGCAGAGGCAGCAGTGAGCTGAGATTGCGCCACTGCACTCCAGCCTGGGCAACAGAGTGAGACTCTGTCTCAAAAAAAAAAAAAAGAAACAGAAGACGACCCTCATATTTATGGTCCTTTGTGTAGTTTCTCCTCATGGCTCCCTCCTTTGCCCTAGGGTAACCACTGTCTTCAACTTTATGCTTGTCACTTAAGTTGCCTTTCTTTATAATTTGACTAAAATTGTTTGTATCCCAAGAAAAAGACATATTGAGTAGTTTTGCATGACCTTGGACCTTTTTTTTTTTTTTTTTTTGAGACAGAGTCGCTCTGTTGCCTAGGCTGGAGTGCAGTAGTGTGATCATAGCTCACTGTAGCCTCGATCTCCTTGGCTCCAGAGATCCTCCCACCTTAGCCTCCCAAGTAGCTGGGATCACAGGTATATGCCACCACACCGGGCTACATTTTTTTTTTTTTTTGGTGGAGACAGGGTCTCCCTGTATTGCCCAGGCTGATCTTGAACTCCTGGGCTTAAGCAATCCTTCCACCTCAGCCTCTCAAAGTGCAGGTATTATAGGCGTGAGCCAGGCTGCTCTCAAACTCCTAACTTCAAGTGATCCACCTGGCTTGGCCTCCCAAAGTGCTGGGATTATAGGCATGAGCCACCACACCAGACCGGTTTGCCTTTTTTTTTGTTTGTTTTTTGAGACGGAGTCTTGCTTCTTCTCCCAGGCTGGAGTGCAGTGGCAGGATCTCGGCTCACCGCAACCTCTGCCTCCCGCGTTCAACTTCTGCCTCCAGGGTTCAAGCAATTCTCCTGTCTCAGCCTGCCGACTAGCTGGGACTATAGGCGCCTGCCACCATGCCCGGCTAATTTTTTGTATTTTTAGTAGAGATAGGGTTTCACCTTGTTGGTCAGGTTGGTCTCGAACTCCTGACCTCAGGTGATCCACCCGCCTCGGCCTCCTGAAGTGCTGGGATTACAGGCATGAGCCATCGCACCCAGCCAATTTTTGTAGAGACAGGGTTTTGCCATGTTGCCCAGGCTAGTCTCTAACTCCTGAATTCGAGCCGTCCGCCTGCCTTTATTATGAGTGCTGAGATTACAGGCGTGAGCCACTGTGCCACACCGAGCCTTCTCTTGCCTTTTCTTTTGCTCTCATGCTCTTTTTTTTTTTTTGAGGCAGGGTCTCACTCCATCACCCAGGCAGGAGTTGCAGTGGTACGATCTCAGCTCAGTGCAACCCCTGCCTCCTGGGTTCAAGTGATTCTCCTGCCTCAGCCTCCTAAGTAACTTGGATTATAGGTGCATGCCACTGTGCCTGGCTAATTTTTGTATTTCTGATTGAGACAGGATTTCACCATGTTGGCCAGGCATGTCCTGAACTCCTGACCTCAAGTGATCCACCCTCGTCGGCCTACCAAAGTTCTGGGATTACAGGTGTGAGCCGCCATGCCTGGCCTTCCCCTGCCTTTGCATATACATTTTAGAATAAGGTTGTTTATAAAATATCTTGCTGTGGTTGGTCACATAGGCTTATGCCTGTAATGTGAGTGCTTTGGGAGGTAGAGGCGGGAAAATCAAAGTCAGCAGTTCAAGACCAGTCTGGGCAATGTAGCTAACCCTGTCTGTATGAAAAAAAATTTTTAATTTAGCTGGATGTGGTGGCACATGCCTGTAGTCCTAGCTACTTGGGACATTGAGGTGTAAGGATTGCTTGAGCTCAGAAGTTTGAGGTTATAGTGAGCTATGATAACGCCACTATACTGTACCCTAGTCTGGGCTACAGAGGGAGACTGTGTCTCAAAAAAAAAAAAAAAAAAAACAACTCTGCTGTGAATTTGATAGGAAAAATGTTACATTTATATATTGTTTTGGAATTTTGGAGGGCATTGATGTCTTTATTATATTGAGTCTTTTAATGCATTAATATATTACATCTCTTCATTTGCTTAGATTTTCCTGAATTTATTTTGTAAGCATTTTGTAGTA